GTTTAGTTCGTTGGCTACGTCAAGGTGGTCAGACTAACAAAACCACTGCATAAAAACACTCCACCAAAGGCTCCTATTTCCTTATAAAGAAGATTGTTTCTGCCAGGCAGATACGAGTAAAAATTTGAATTGTCATCTCTAAATTTTGAATATCGCAAAGTTTTGACTTGAGTTGGCTTTCAAGTAATTTGAAATTTAAAAAAGAAAAAAAAATTGGACTTACTGACAGTGGTGAGACTTGCTTTGACAAGGACTTTGGGTCAGTGCTACAAAGAATGTCTTTTAGTAACTAAGTATTGATAGTTTAAGGTTAGAAGCCTTTTTAACATGGATTTAAAGGCTTCTCATACCCAAGCTGCAATAAATCAATCATTATCTGATCATGAAAAAAAACAAAACAGTTTTTTTAATCCTCACAACCCAAAAAATAGCATTTAAAAAGACAGAAAACCTTTTGTATTTTGTAAGTTTTGAGATTTTACCTCAAAAATAATATTATCTATCTGATTTTTCTTCTTTGTTTAGATAACACAGCCCAGATTTAGTTTCTCTCATCCACTTCAGATGCTGCAAACCTTGCACCCGACTTTATTACACCCAGAACTGATTGACAGCAACAAGTGGTCTTCAGGAAGTTCAAAGTGCAGCAGTTGTTATCCAAAAAGTTCGATCATAATTGTCCTGTCCGGGTGTCTTTGCAATATAAGCCAGACCTGATTTCAGAATCTTCCTCCTGACCTTCAAGGTCCTAATCGGATTATCTTTCCCCTGACATTTCCAGCCCCATTACTCAACATACACCATCACACCCTTCACGCTGGGCTCTTAACTGTCCCTGGATTCAGTAACTAAACTCCTTTGAGGATACAGCATTTGGCCACAGAGCTCTTCTCCTTTGGCACAAACCTCCAGTCCAAGGTCGCCAGGGTGGCTAAGTGCAGACTTTCAAATCCAGACTCAAATCTTTCTCCTCAGTTCTGTAGCAGTAAAAGTCCAGGCTTATCAAATGATGCCAAGTTTATTTCAGCTCATCTCCAGCTGCATATTCTTTTCATTTTTGGGCTCCAGAGTAGCTTTACATGATTCACTATTTAAAGAAATCCTACTTATACTTCTCTTATACACCTGTGCTAAAGCACTTGTTGGAGCTGCATCAAGGCTCAGCTCAACAAGCTGCATGCCTGTCTCTCTCTTTATAGCAAATGAGTGTCTCTCCCTCATAAAGAACAGATCTGAGCAACAGGTAACTGGAGTGTCTGTGCTGAAAGCCAGCGCTGACCACATCTGGAACATCAGCACAGTTTATCACATGAACCTTTGTCTTACAGAGATTACACAGGCTTCACTGACCCAACGTCCCAGCGCAAGTACTGCTACTCAACAGCCATCTTGAAATGCCCTTGGGTATTTATAATAGGTATTTTGAAGAATTACATAAATTTATCTTAATTTCAATGGTTATTGGAACAAAACTGCAGCTGATTAGATTTGATTAGGATGGATGGAATATGTGACACAATTTTCTTAATTTTGCTTCTGTACACAATAACAGTAGATTTTAAATCTAACCATAAAGATGTTAGAAAGAATTACAATACAATACAATACAACTTTATTTATATAGCACACTTAAAACCGAAGGTACACCAAAGTGCTTCACAACAAGGTTAAAACATAAGATATAAGATAAAAGGCTATAACAGATTACAAAAGTACAGACAGAAATAAAACATTTTATAAGAAATAAAACATTAGAGCATAGTTTAGGAGATAAAATTACTGGGTATTCATAAATATAAGGTGGGGGTATTTATACAGGGGAACATTAGTAGAAGATAAATAACATCAGGGTAAAATACAGGAGATGTGCACTAACTAACTGAAAACACTCAGTCAAACAGGTAAGTTTTTTATTGAGATTTAAATGAATAGATGGAATCAGAGGCACAGTCACCTCTGGTCTTTAGCCGGGATCTAGGCTGCACTAAGAGTTATTGTCCCGATGATCTTAGGGCTCTCCTAGGGATATAGGCACTAAGGAGTTCAATGAGGTATCACGGTGCAGTATTGTTTATGATTTTAAAGGTAAGCAACAGAATTTTTAACTCAATTTGGTATTTGACAATATGAGGCCCAAAGAAGTGTTGAATGCAAAATGCGTCAGAGACCACAGAAGACACCTAAAGTGGATGATTCCAAAACTCTTTCCTGGGTTAAGAAAAACCCTTCACACCTGTAACCGAGTCAAGAACACTCGCGAGGAGGTTCCTTTATCACTGTAAAAGTCTCTAATCATGAGATTAGAGACAGAAATACAGAGGGTTTGTGACAAGGTGCAAACAACAGGTTACACTCGGGAACAAGAAAGACAGATTAGACTTGACATCTAACACTAACTGCACAGCCCTGAAACAATGCACAGTCCCTGGTTTCCTGGTACCAGGAAAAACCTGAACCAGGTTAGCAGGATGAACAGGATGAACTCTGTGCTCTCTGCTCAGATTCAGGTAAAGTCTGCGACACTGATTGATGAGACAAAGCATAATGAGTCCCCTTTAAGCAGTAAGCTGACACAGACCGTGTGTACAACTGTGCACCACTTAGTTTAATATAAATATTCACAAGGTAAAATTGCAGGCATTCAGATTAGTGTTGCATACATACTTGCACATTTCTTTATACACTGATCACACAAATTTGTAAATGTTACTGAGACTCTGGGTGAATTCAAGCTGCACTATATGACATGTTAAACTTAACACAGTTTTGCATTTTCACAACTGAACCAACCACAACGCACTGATTTTATTTTACACATAGCACTGGTCTAACGCAGCCAAGAAAAGCACAATGACCATGCGCATTTTCCAACATGCTGACAGCTGCATAAAAGTTGCACAAAGCCAAATGCAAATGATTTCAAATATTTGCAATAAGATCTAAAGGAGTCATCATTTCCCTCCTTTCCTCTCCCTCTTGCACAGTTGCATCAGTCTTCTTGAATGTAGTAACTGCAGACTAAAGTCCCTCATTCCTTCCTGTATTGCAGGCTTTTTTGTGTCTGTAATCGTTCACTTTGTAACACGAATTCATTGAAAAGGCTGAAAGTCAAAATCCTCAGTCAGCTTTCAGTATAGGAGTTAAATCAGACCATGCTGCTGTAATTGAACATAACTCTCTATTGCCTTTTCTGCTGTACATATAACATGGTCTTCACCTGCAGCCACATCCTTGTTTTGTTAGGCAGCACATCTTTGTCTGGGTCTTGGTTACTGTATAATACTCATTGGACAATAGGACTTTTTGTAATCGTTGGGTGGAGATGCTTACATTCAGGGGCACCTCTTAAATCTCTGTGGTCTCCTTGTAGTCTGCGTCCCTCTGTGTGGTTTTCAATAGTTTTGCCTTTGCTTTTGTCAGACTGGCTGCGTTCCTGTGCGATGCTGCTGTCTCAAAATGTGTTCAGCTTAGTTTTTTCAATTTTTCTGTTACTCTGTTCGACTTAAAGCTTGCTGTTACCTCTGCATTTACTTTCTCGGGTTCTTTATTCAGAACTTATCATAGCACACAGTGCTACGATGCGTGTTAAGTTCAGGTTAGACTCCCTGCAAAAACTGTGCAGAGAGGGATGCTATGGGCAGCTGTAGGATGCAGAGCAACGGACACCTCCAAAAAATCAACAACACTGTTGTGCATCAGGCAAATTTGCTCAAAGCAGCACAATAAAGGACAAAAGAGACCAACCTGAAAACATTTCAGTTAATGATAAAAAAAAAAGCACTACTGAGGTGTGGGAAAGGCATAGCTGCAGGTATGTAAATATGTCTAATGCTTCAAGGACCTTTTAACATTACAAGAAGATAACATAATTAAAATGCTATTTTTATGTTATAAGGCGGACATTAAAGAGGGTATTTAAAAAAAAACATATTAACCAATTTACGCAATTTAAGTTTTGTTGAAGTAGGAGCGTTGTTTTCTCCCAAATGTATTTGGGAATCCCATGCTGCTTCTCTGCCAGCAAAATCACATAAAAACTATTTAAAAGAAGCCAATAAATTTTGGTTCTCATCCAGATCAGGTTCTTTAAAACTGCTACATGCCTTTGTGCGGGTTCTGAAAGTGTCTCTGTCCCACACTTTTTTCTAGGCTTCATACTTTCGCCATCTTTCTGCCGAATCAAAAATTTGTATATTTGCATTTGATGGACAAGAATGAGAGCTGAAATATGTAGCAGAGCTGAGTGACCTATTATAGCTTTTATATATCGGGGGTGATGTGTTTATAATTCAAAGAATTTATACAGGAAAAATCTGCATACAGTCTTTTAAATATATATGCTTGCTGTTACCAGGTGGTCATTTTTTTTCCCAAATTTGAAAACTAAAGGGTTACAGCATTTCGTTTACAAAAAGTAAGCCTATTCAACTTAACCAGGTAACCAGCTGTAGGGAAATGGTCAAAAAAAGAACGTCACAATTTAAACTGTCCATTTTAGTATAAGTATGACTATTTTAAAATATCTGAACAAAAAACGCTTATTTTTCCATGAATAAATATATAACAGACTAAATCATGTATCTTTTATCTGTCACAGTTTGGTCTGTTGTGACTTTGGGTTTTCTGGGCATCATCTGCAGTTATGAAATTTCAAACACATGAATGTGCTGGTCCTAAAACTAAAGCTGCATATTGAAAAAAGTCTGCAATAACCCACAAGTTTTATATTCGTTTTCTAGATAATTTGTCGTGTTTGCCTTAACGTGTGATATTCAGTCATGATTAAAAAACAACAACATCAAAAAAACCCAATAAATATTTTTTAAAGCCTCTGCAGTCATATAGACGTATGCAGTCATACACTGAAACCTTACCACTATACCCACTGGTACACTGTCATGCAGCTCTTTTAACTAAACTTAAACTTACAGCTGCTTTTAAACACTTGAGACACATCTGCAGCTGAATGGGTGCTTTGGGCACTCGGGATGATTTTGTAGTTGTGCTTTTTGTGCATTTTATTATTCAAACAATTGATACAATAAATTTTTTATATATGTTCAGCTTCATGTTTTGCTTCTGTTCATTGTTAGTCGTCTCCGTTTGACAGGTACAGATTAGAGAAGTCTCTCAGGAGGCTCCTGACTTGGGCATTCTGGGGGTTTCCATCATCAGGGATCAGCTCTGGATTCAGAGCCAGGTTTAAGACCTTTGTGGGGCTGAAAGCAGCAGAGCGGGTCTGTGCTGTGTGGAGACCCTCAATTGCGCTGGACAGCCAGAAGAGTCTCTTGAGACTCTGGATGGTTCGGCCGCGGTCGTGCATCAGCTGGTGTTCGGTCACAGCTCGGCGACTGCAGAAAGAAAACAGAGAGCAGGAAGCAGCTGCTGGTCAGCGCACAGTCTCAAAGTTCATGCAGCAACCATCAATGATCAATGACATGTTCTATCCAACACACGGATTTATTTATGGAAACAAAATCAGAGCCGCAAACGCAGCACAGCAAACTGGGTCCATTCATCTCTTAGCACATGAATACATTTTAAATGAGTGAAGACTGTTTTAGATTCAAAGTGACATCAAAAACAGAAAATGCGTAATAAATAAGTAATAGTTATTATTCATAAACTCTGAAATAAAGTGGGAACAGTGAGACCACCTGTCGCTTTGTTGGCCCTGGACTGTTGTAACAATGACAAGAAGCATGACAGTGAGCCACTGCACAGGCCTGTGGGACGTCTGCATCTTCTGCATGAAAACAGCAGCAAAGACAAAACACATTAAAACCTCTCATACGAAAGGTAAAAAACAAACGTTCTGAATGCACATCAGCTATTGCTGAAGGTTGGTGATACTGAACCCTGAGTTGCTTTTGATGGGTTCATCTATGGGAATGTTAGATTAAAAAAACCCATCCAGACATAGAAAACACTGCTTGTATATATGTGTGTGTGGATGGGTGAATGAGACATGCTACATAAAGCACTTTGAGAGCTTAGGTAGAGTTGAAAAGTGCTATAAGAACCAGCCCATTTACTTTATTTATTTATTGGAAACATTTTTCTTTCTTATGGATAAAAATCATCCACCAGTTCCCAGGAAAAAGGAGCACAAGCTCAACAAACTGAGGAAAATGAAATTTTCTTCAGCAGAGATGAGTCGTTTTCACACATGAACTGCAGGAGAATCGTTTATGGGCATTTTCCACAGTGGCCTCCTCTGACATGCAGCACACAGCAGGAAGTAGAGCACCTCAGACACTTTAGCGCTGCTGGAAATCCTCGGTGTGTTTTAGGCCTGCACAGAGCGCGCAGGAGCACAATGCCCACTCGCAGCGGTTAGCTGCACTATATGGAGTGATGCATTATGACATCACACAAATGTCAGACTGAATCTGACATTTGTGTTCTCGTGCTTGTGTGTCAGGTAAACTGTGGAAATGTTTAGTTCAGCGGTGTACGTGTGAGCGAGTGAGTGCGTTTTTCTTGTGGCTATGATTAGGTGCCCGAGTCTATTCAGCGACTGCGCCACATTTTTATCCCCAATCCCCACGATCCACATACTGAGACAATGTCCAAGCTTTTGATTGGCTCTCAAATCAGGAGCCCATGAGTCTCATGAGAAAAGTGACACTCAATAAGAAATGTGCTAATCTGTGGATGCATCCCTACTGAAACTCAAAGATAATCAGCAGACAGAAATGCAGCTGAAATTAAAGTTAACAAGTTCTTCTGAATGAAAAGAGAACATGGGAACATGCAAAGACTTGCATGAGAATAAACCTCCCATTTAAGCTTATCGTATTTTCTGATTAGAGTTTAAAAACTTGTCTTCAAATAAACTGCTAAATAATAACCTGTAACGCACTCCTTGCCCTATTTAGATAGCTGCCAACAGACCTTTAACCCATTACCAGGTCCTGACCACTTCTTATGGAACCACTGAGTTATGCAAGTCACTGAAATATAACAATACAGAAAATATAAGATATTACTTTAGGTGTCTGCTAAGAAGAACAACTTATATTTACAGAATATGCTATTTACATCTGCTTTTCTTTCATTTCCTGTAAATATAAAAGCACAGTAATCAGCCTGAAAAATAACAGAAATAAATGTGCTTGTAGAATATGAACACAAAGCATCGTTTATGAAGGTTTTGATTGTGTTTTAATGTTTGATGATGTGGACAATCTGGATGAATCTGATTCTAAGTGTTGGAGGATATTTTTGGCTTCATTAGTGGATGCAACCAAGTTATCTTCCACTACCTCACAAAGAGATAATTCTGTGAACCTACAAACAACAAAGAGTTCTCCACACATCTGATTCCTCTGCAGCCATTCATTTTTTCCCCCAGCATCAGAATCCAGAATGAACACAGCTGCTGTTTTCTGCCTCGAAGCAAACTACAAACTTTTCACAAAGCTGGAAGATCGGCTGTATGCAGAGAAAGGTGTGACGGGCAAGTCATGATGAGCTAATGATCTCCCAAAGTCAAAGACAAATCAAGCTGATGGATCCTACTCCATCTGGGCTTCGGGTTCAACACACAAAAAAGAAAAAACACGTAAAACGAGCATGCAAACGTTCCCGATATTGTCTGTTTCGTCCACGTTGGGTCGGTCTGTCCACAACAAGAAACTGCTTCAGTTTTCTTTAAATGAATCTGGATTTCATATCAATTTCAATTTTATAAAGTTCAATTTACTTTTAACTGTTTGACTGACACAGAAAAAATAAATACCAGCAACATTTAAGTACAAAAAAATGAATCAAATTAAAAACTAAAAAACTATCATATGAAACAAAAATTAACTAAAAGCTTCTTTAAAGTAATCCGACTCTTAAAGAGGTACTTACCTTTCCCGTGTTTGCGGCTGCAGTACTTCGGCTGATTAGACACTAAACTGACTTCAGATTCAATCTCGAGACCTTTTATAAAGCCCTCTCCGTCACACACACACGGACACACACTTTACTCAGACCTCCCACTCTCTTAATTGAAAATGGTTTGATTTGCTCCTGAAACAAACGTCAGCACCATCATCTCTGACATCTGTGATCTTTGTGTCTGAAGAGTGAGCAAAACATGGAAGCATTTTTTGGGGTTTATTCATGTTAATAATTTGATCCCCAGTGTGACAGTGGAGGAGGTTTACACACTTATACATGCTCTTTACATAAGCAGGTGTTTTCAAAAGGAGGATGAAATTCAATTGAGGGATTATCATTTTTCTATTTTCTGGTCTAATCCCCTCTGGTTCCTCTTGCAGACTCACGCTGGCTACTAAGAAATGGGGCTGAATGTTTGTATTGATGTTGAGGGTGAAGACACGGAGAGGAATGAGTCAGCGTGAATGACGCGAGCGTCAGCAAACCGTCTGCCAGTTCAGCTCTAAACTTTGCTAAATGATCTGTCTGCAGTTAAGATGTTTGTCGCCTGGAGCTCTTCTCCACATTATGACCACCGTCACTAATGAACCCAAACAAACTGGAGTCACTGGTTGCTGTGGTGGCGCCGCAGTCGCCATTAGAAATGCAGTCGTCGTGACAACATCTTGCAGGGCGAGTTTCCCTCAGCGAGAAATGTGGGCTGCCATCGGAGGCTCGTGGGTGGAGAGATGGGAGCGAGAAGAAGTGATTTAGGTCATTAAGGAGTAATTGATGGCAGTGTGAAGAAACTCAGAGACGGACAGCAAGGGAGGAGTCGTGAGGGTGAAAGAAACCAGACAAGAAACTAATCAGCCCGATGGAGGTTAATTTCTCACTGCAGGAAGTGAGTGTTTACATGACTCACGTCCAAACCCAGTACTCAAATTCTGTTTTATATAGAAGACTCATTGTTAAACATTCACAGTGGATTAGCACTGTTGCCTGGGTTTGAATCCACTGGCCAGCCGAGGCCTGTGCAGGTTCTCTTCAGGTACTCGGGCTTCCTTAAAAAGGCATGCATGCAGGTTAATTAGTGATTTTAAATTTGCATGTAAGCCAGTGGCTATGTGATAGTGATCTTTCCAGGATATATGCAGTGTATCTATTCTACATAGCATCCAGTAAACAGATGTTCGTACAACAGATAAGGACGAGAGCACGTTGGTAAAGTGAAAACTGCATCTAGAACAGAAACAGCTGCATTATACTGCTAACGCAACTCTTTACAAGCACCTGCACAGACAGCATGCTAATGCTAAGCTAGCCAGAAACCCGGAGTGATGCTGTGAATGTTGACCCCATCGCAGCAGCCAGACCCTGAACTTCCACAGTAACAACAGCAGAGATTAGCAGTCAGGGTGCAGCCTCTGTTTCTACCTGTTCATGTTTCTACAGTAGAATCACTGCAGTTAACGTTTTTAAGTCACTGTGCTGGTTTTCATCTTTGCCTTGTGTTGATACCTAAAATACTAAGACAAAGATCATGTGGTGTGTCCTCACAGGGACTGTAGCCCATAGGTTAATATTGTTAAATGCTAATTATATGAAAAGGCATTTCAGGCATTCTGTGTAACTTGTGTAATAACGACCCCCAACACAGATCACAACAATGAAGGGAACTACCTCCAACTCGCACAAACATTTGAACACAAAACTTATAATTAATTTACATGAATGTCTTTGATGTGCTGCTAAGAGATGGTGGTGACTCAAAGTGGAGCTAATGAGAATCTAAGAGAATCGCAATCATAACTGATGTCAGTATTGGATTTGGAATTCTTATCAATTCCCATTCCTACTCCCACTGCATCTACTGTCCTGAAGTATTAACCTGGAATTAAGACACTACAGTTTTGTAGTGTTTTTTGGGCGTGTTTAATTTGCACAAGGTCGGCTCTGCCGTTCCTGTGTCTGTTTTGTACCAATGAGGCACTTTTAAGATGTCTCACTGTCCAACACATTACTGAAATTGGTAATTTTCTGGTAATCAGTTGTACAGATAACTGATTACATAATTTCCTTTGGGATAAATAAAGTATTCTGATATCTGCTGGTCTCACAGTCGCTATGACGGATATATGAGATACAGCTCATACAACAAAAACCATGACCTGGGGATCATACCAGTTGCTTGGCTGTTACGCACTAACAGTCGTTTACCAAATTATCTGTCTTTGATTCTCGCATGAATCAAAGGTTTGCAGCAGTTCCAACAAGGATCCAAATGCGGGGGGGATTTAATACTAAGATGATTCAAAGCTGCAGAAAAATAGTAAACAGGAAAAATAACAAACAAACCCAAAAACAATGAATCCACCAAGGCAGAAAAAAAAGAACAGGCAGCAGAGTGAGAACAGGAGAAACCGATGAGAGTAAAAAAAATAGAAAAAGACAAAGTAAAAACAAACAAACAAACACAGAAAGATATCCTTTCAAAATAAAAGAGGAATCTACAGAAATGTGTAAAATTCTGTCGTGAACCACAATGTTCAGATAAGGTCTATAAATACCAGTGAAGCACAATGAAAGTTACAGATTCTTAAAAGAAATAGAGACAGAGAAGTTCAAGCATGAGTAAAATCAGGAACACTTTCCTGTGAAAGTTTTAAGACCACTTTAAAGGAAGTCTCTGACTCAGCAAACCAGATTTCCTTCAGCAGAGCACTCCTCGCCTCGAGGTACTTCTATAAATCTCCTGTCCTCTTTAGTTTTAGTTGTGCTGTATTTCAGTCTGGGCTGAATGTTGTTTAAGCTACTACAGATACCTGATAAAGGAACTGTGTTTATACACAGCTCCCAGACGACAGCGTTTCCAGGGAAGTTCTTGCATGTTTTGACAAGATAATGCTAATCTTCATAGTGGGGTTTAGCTTTACTGTACACTTTCTCATTTTAAAAATGTGATGTGTTTTCTTTGTTCAGTTGTAAATAAAAAAGGGGTTGCATTTTGTTTTTACAGTTTACAGAGCGTCCCAGCGTTTTTGGAAGCGGGGTTGTAAAATTGTATATTTGTCCAATTTCTTCTGAGCATCTGAAAATGTGAGACTATATGTATAAACAAGAGTGTAACTCCTAAAAAGTTAATGCAATACTTTTGTTAAAGCCGTCAGTTAAAGCTAAAAGTCTGCATGTTAATCGCATCCTGTTGGTGAAGATAAGTTTCCACTTCTAGAACAGACAGAAGGAAAAAACAATGCGCCCAAGCAAAGGACCTTAAAAGGGTCATTTTTAAGGTCCTTTAAAGTGTTTCTGGCTCAGACGCACACAGCAGTGAGCTCGTCCCATCAAATCACAGCCACCTTCACTCACAGCCTGCAGGCTCTTTAAGCAGCAGAGGAGATCCTTGGTGTATTTGTTCAGGAAAAGGCACCAGGAAATACAAATGGACCAATTATGGGCCACATGGAAGAGAGAAGGAGAATTACCGTGGGCCATAACACACCCACACCAGCTTTTCTCAAACCTTTTGTGACACACCACCTCGGAAAAATTATTAATAATAAAAAAAAGATGTAATTTTTAGTTAAATAATGATTGCCGCTGATAGCAACAGTAAACTGTTTATTTATTTCTCCCTAAAAAAAACAAAAAAACATAACCAATATTTCAACATGCAGTGGCTGTGCCCCATCGTTTGGGACGATATCCTCACCTGTAAAGCAACCTGCATCCACATAGGGGCAGTGTTGTACTGAGCAGCTGAGTGTTGCTCATGAACCACCAAACAGCAGGTTTAAGACACTGCAACACTAAATTCATTTGCTGAGTAACATACAGTAAAATACATTAGGACTGCTCAGTAACGCCCCATAGAGGCAGCAGCGTTCATTACAGTCACAACATGAGCAAACATCTTGATTCTGTCCTTCTTACTGTCTTGATGCATGCTCAATCGTTCAGGTAAGTAAATCCCAAAAGGTTGATTCTGTTCATCTGGACGTAGAGTTTTCAGTGGGAGAAACGTTTCGTCACTCATCCAAGTGACTTCTTCAGTCTCAGCTGACTGCAGGTTTCCCCAACTGTATAAACAGGTTTATACAGTTTATACTGTTTTGTTTATAAAAAACAAAACAAAACAGTCTATGCAATACTTTTATTAAAACCCTCAAATTAAAGCTGATGGTCTGCACCTCAATCACATCTTGATTGCTTGATTTGAAATGTAATCTAACTGTAAGTGTCACATGCAACTGGCACGGCCTCGGGCAATGTGCACAAGATCTTTCTCTTGCCATTTTTGTCTCTCGGTCCTTGAATCACTCAGGTCTCAAAGAACAGAGCCAAAAGGATATACACCTGCATAATAAAAAGCACTACATCAAAACACTTTAAATGCAACACCTTTTTAACGTTTATGAAAAGCATGAGCAGCTAATACACGGTGTATAACAGAGTCTAATGTACCTGCATTTGTCAACAACTATGAATTCTCTTAAAGACAAATCGCATTGTTAACATGACGTTACTATTGTTTGTTTGTTTTTGTTTGTTTGTTTTTCTAAGCCTCAAAACCATCAGCTGATTTGGTTAGGAAGCTGCATCCATAAATATCTATGTGCAAGGCACTATCAAGTGCCAATCAGTTGTTTTATAATTTTATTCAATAGGAGCCCGGCAACAGATGGGTGACCTGTCCAGGCTGTACCCCACCACTCGCCCTGTGGCAGCTGGGATAAGCTTGGTGTTTCCTCTGCAGTGACTGCTCCCTGCTCCACTCTGTGTTACTGGCCAGGAGCAAATATACACATGTTGATTTAGCCATCTTTGAGAATCAATAATCCATTCCTAACCTGGGTTTGACCAACACCTAACTGTCAAACAATTATTATGCATTCAGACCGAAGTGAAGTGAAGCTTCACTGAAAATCTGTGAACATTTGCCCCTAACTCCGAACTGGTGGAAGAGTGCACCCTGACTTGTTTTTCCTCACTTTTCTCCCAGCTTTTATTTTCTTCCTTTGTCTACATAAAAGAAAAGTTTAATCACACAGTAGGTGCCAAAAATGATTACATGT